CTCCAGCAGCTCCCACTACGTCTCCTCAGTGTGGCTCAGACCTTCCAGGCTGTAATGCTGGGGGTATCCCTGAGCCAAAGTTGACCTATAGCTGAACCCTCCAACCTAATAATATATTTAGCTTAGTATTGTATTTAGCCATATATCTGCTTATTAACCAAGATGCTATATAATCCTTAGTAATGCTTTAAAAGTAGCACAACATATTATTAATAATTAGTATGTCAAGGCCATGAAAGCAGTAGGCCTCACATGGTTGCAGCTGGTTCATATTTGAGATATAAGTGTAGCCACAGATCTGTATTCAGAGACTAGTCAAGGCCATGGGGCATTTGGTAGTAGTTAGTCCAAACTGACTCCCTGACTTTGTCCTGGGCCCTGGCCAGGCTTCAAGGGAAAACCAAGGAGGGAAGAAAGCCAGATTGTTTTTCTGCACCAATCGAGTGATGTCAGTTGGTTTGTTTAACACTATATGAGCTGGACTCTCTCACAGCAAAGATGGAGGCCACCCCTGTGAGTAGACGCACTGTGTAGGATTTCCAAATTACAGGAGTGGTTCTCCAGCCCTTTGCTGTGATCAGGGGCCTCTCCAGCTGATGTGCAGGTCTGGATGATGGTAATCTAAATAGGGTAATTGGCGATGTATCTCTCTCTTAATCACTATAGACACTTTCGTAGTAATGATTAGTTGCATTTCTAAGTGTATCCTTTCATAAGCCACTGCTTCCTTTGTAATTCTTTACTGTTTTGCACTGTAGTAAACTTACACACTTATTCTTTAAAGTTGGTGCCTGTATTCCTTTAATCCATCTTCGTTCCTGGAGCAAAACAGATTGGCAAAACACAGGCACACAGATATGTCCACCCCAGGCACTTCAGCACATACACACCAGGGACATGTGTCACGGCAGATCAAGCACTGCCAGCACCCACACCCAGGCACAGGGATCCCCCAGCAACACTGAGACACTGAGACACTCAGCCTGAGTTGACCCAGCAGCTGCCCTGGATCCCAGGTGTCCCAGTTGTTGGCACCTGTGCAGGGAATTCCCTGAGGCTCTCGTGAGCTGCAAGGTAAACCTGCTTCAGCGTGGGCTCTCCACAGGTCACAGTTCCTTCAAGGCAAATCCACCTGCACTACCATGGTCTCATCCACTGCCTGCAATGTGGAGATCTTTCCCAGTGTGGTCCTCTTCACAGGCTGCAGTAACATCCCTGTTCCACCAAGGTCTCTCCCCTCTCTGACCTGGCACCTGGAGCACTCCCCTCTTCTTCTATGACTTTGCTGTTCACAGGATTGTTTCTCACCTTTTTTTTTTCCCCTCACTCCTGTGAGATCCTAGATCCAAATCTCACTGAATTATTGATACAGGTTGGAACCAACTCACTGTGAATGTGTGTGCATGCGGGGAAGGGCTGGGCCCAGACCTGCAGGAACATGGTAAGACCTGCACATAAGGCCTGTGCTGAGGGCACAGGGCAGAGCTGGAAGGCAAGGCCTGCACCCACGCAAAACACACGGCAGAGCTGAAGGCCCGCAGCCCATGCAAAGCACATGGCATCACTGAAGGCCTGTAGCTGGGCTGTCGGTAAAGGCAGACCTGCCTGGTAGCCCACCCACACCACACCCCTGTGGCCTGTGACTGGCTACAGCACAACTCTGGTCTGGAAGGCACTGACCAGATATCCTGCCTGGGAGGGAAAACTGAACTCTGTAAATACATGAGACTCCATGAGGTCTCCCTCTCTCTCTTTCCCTCCTGCAGCCTGAACTATGTGAGTCAGTAACACTTTTTTCCTCCTCTTCCCCTCTCCCTCTCCAGCCATGTGAACCATTGAATCTTGTCGGTAACTATACTCCTCTCTTTTCTCTCTCTCCTTCTCTCTTCTCCCTCTCTTTATTTCTTTTAATCTGTTTTCTTTTACTCTTTTTCTTCTCTTGCGGGGAACTTAAAACCAGTGAATTGTGTTTTACTAAAACTGGTATATGGATTGTTTTAGTGGATGTTTCCTGTGGAATGGGTTTTTGTGCTGAATGTTTTAGTGAAATGCTTTCTTGGTTGTATTTTACTCCTGTAAAAACTGTTATAGGTAAATAAACCAAATCAAAATTTAGCAGCAAAATTTATTGTGAGATTTATATAAAGTGCAGATAAGCAAATCAGCGCGCTGGGTGGCCTGGAGAGACCCCTGCTCTCCACCGGCCCACAAGCCCAATAAAAACAAACCGCAACTTTTGTACTTTTTCAACTCCCCCTCCCATAGTCACTTGTTAGCTCTTGATTGGGCTTGGGTTCGCGGGCTTCGTTCTGGTTGGTTCTGTTGTAGGCCCATTTGGATTGCCAGGGCCTTTCCATCAGTACTTTCCATCAATAGCTTTAATTAGCCCAATGTCCTTGGAGCTGAATATGGGAAGGTGTCCAGATGGTCCAGATGTTCTCCTTGGCTTTTTCTTTATCATGTCCATCCTTGACCCTCTGATCCTCGTTCTCTTCTTCTTTCCTAATGAGTAACTTAGACAATATTTTTAGAAAAGCAGGATATGGTATACGTGCTCAGTAAAGCAAGATACTCTATCTTTGCCAACTTGGGAACTGCCAGTTGCAGGACAGTCAACTTATAATAATAATACAGCAGTTAACTATTCCGCAGCTTACAATTTCCTAGTCCCAACCAAGCATTAGCTATAATATACAGAAAATACAATATATATATTTTGACGAGTAAATTTTACCATTGCTTACTTATTACAAAACCTTTTGCCAAAATATCTTATTTTTCTCACTAAATTAAAAAGAAATTCTCTTAGAGAAGAGTGTGTGACAAATATTGCAAATATTTTTTTTGAGAGGCACCATCAGCTTCATTGATTGGTTTAACCCTGGTTTGAGGTGGGTCCACTGTCAAGCCCTCTGGAACTCTGTGTCTGGTATTAGGGCACCATGAAGGCAGCCCCTGGTCTCCTCTCAGGGAGGCCACCCTGCTAAACACCATCTTTCTTTCCTGCTCTGGTTGTAGCACCCAAACATTTATTTTCTGTGTTGCATCAAGCTTAGCCTTTCCCACCATGAATATCTATCACTGTTGGGTCACTGTCTGCAAACCTCTGAACTATGAGTCAGTGCAGTAGTTTTAGTCTAGGCCTTCCTCGGTGACCAGTTTGTGACCAAGGAAGTGGTCAGATTACCCGGTGTTCCCTAAGATTTTTTATGTAATCCAGGGGTATAAAGAAGAAGGGAGGAGAGGCCTTCGCTCTCTTCCCTTCTGGTGGCTCTGGAGGTGCGGGTTCCCTGCTGTCAGTTCCGCCATATGGGGAGTGAGGCCTGGTGAGGCCTTGCCAACCTTGGGAGGTGGAGGGTGCCGGCGGTCATCCAGCGTGATTTCTGTTGTCTCAAGGAGAGTAGTAAGATATTCTTTCACTAATTCTTTAGTTTGCTAGATCCTGAGTTTCTGATTGTGTGTATATTTATTTTTTTGTTTGTTTGGTTTTTTCCTTGCCTTTCCCTTTCCCTTTTCCTTTTGGAACTGTACATAATATTTCAATTGTATAAAAATGTAATATAAGTGTAAATATATATATATTGCTTTAGCTCTCTCTCTCTCTCATTTCGGTTCTCTTGGGTTTATTTTTTCTTTTCCCTCGGTTTTGGGGGGGTGAGCTCTTGCAGTGAGGTTTCAAGACTTGGCAGGGAGCCAGCTTCAAACCACTACAGTCAGGCACAGGAAACATTGCATGCAGACGGTCACTAGAGCATGAATTAGAGCTGTTTTCTACTCTGTGTTGCACACTGAGTCCAGCACTCAGTCACCACCATGTGTTTCCTGATATTTGAACAGAGCATCTCATGTTTCAGTTTGTGCCCACTAGCTCTTGTCCTGTCCCTGCATAACTCTGTGGAAAGAATCTGTCTCTCTTCCACTTACACCCTATTTTCAGGTATTCTTATACATGGATAACATCCCATCAGAGCCTGCTCTTTCCAGGGTAAAAAGTTGAATTCCACCCTTCCTTAACTTCAAAAAATGGTGTACATCCCTGTACTGGTGTAAAAGTAAATCGGCGGGAGAAATGAACCCAACTCAAGAGAGATTACAAGTCAGAGTTACAATTTACTAAAAAGATTAGAATAAATACAATGATACAGAGTGGGTTTAACCCACAAAACCAGATGAATAACCCAGCCCCCCTGGGACAAGAACAGAACAGTGCTGAGAACATGAACTGGAGTCTTGTGCACTTTTTTAGACAGGTCAGAACATGCAAGGCTCAAAGAAGAAAGCTACTTTATTTATCCCTGAAATAAATATTGATACAAAAAAGTGAAATGTTATGAAAAAAAAAAAAGCAAGAAAGAATCATTAAGCTTCAGAAGGAAATATTACTTCACTCCCTCAAAACAATTCTTTTCAATCCATAGATTTTAACTGTAAGAAATATTGCTATTTACTTCTTTCACTTCTATTGTTTTACTTATGATTATGTTTTTGTTTTGTATTGCTAACAAGGGTCCTTACCATTCTTTCGGCTATAAATAATATATCATAGAATCATAGGATGTTTTGGGTGGTCATGAACCTGGTCTTTACTTACAGTAGGGAGCACTTTGCTCCCCCATCCTGCTGTCCATCCACTCAAGAGGTGTGGGAAAAGAAGTTGCTATTGAAGACTGGGGCAAAAAAGTTGTTGAGTACCTGAGCATTCTCCTCATCTGCTGTTACCAGTTTTCCAGCAGTGTTTCTTTGGGAGGTAACATTTTCTTTGACCTTCCTTTTCTGGCTGACATACCCATAGAGGCCATTCCTATTATTCTTTGTGTCCATTGCCAGGTTCAGTTCCAGCTACTCCTTGGCCTTCCTCACCCCATCCCTGCACAACTGAACTTCATCTCTAGACTCTTCCCAGGTCATCTGTTCTTCTTTTCATTCCTGTGCCTTTGCATCTTTCCCTTTTTTGACCAGCAGGTCCCTACTCAGCCATGCTGGCCCCTTGCTTTCCTTACCCAATTTCTTGCTCCTGGGGATCACAGGCACTTGTGCTCTGTGGAATATTTCCTTAAAGATCTGTCATCTCTGCTCCACTCTCTTGTCCCTGAGGAACAATATGAATTTTAAATCAACAGTTCCAAAAATTATTTTGACATTTTCTAAAAAAATTCATCCCTGTGTTCTAGTTGCTTACATTTGAACTTTCTGTGTTATAACTTCCCATGTCATGAAAATGTTGGGAAAATGTGGCAAAATGGTATTAACTTTAAAGAAAATAAGCCATCCCAAGTGAATGCTCCTCTCTGTAGCTCTATCTCATTCACTCTGTAATTCCTGAACCAGGCAAGTGGATACCCAGCTGCCCTGTTCATCTGCTAAATTATCTGCAAGCCAATGCCATTTCCTTCCACATGTGCATTCAGTTTTTCTTAATTTACTTCTGTTCATTCTGTTGTTTAAATATTTCTTGGTCTAATTGCCCCTGAAAATTTCTGTCACCTGTCCATCTCTCCCCTAAGCCAGCTCTTTTCAGGGTTCATGTCCTGAGGAAACTGGAGTTCAGGGGGATCAGAGTAAAAGGTATGACTTTTTTGTTAATTAAGGTTTTTTTGTTTCAATCGTTAGGAAAGGCCTTGAAAACCTTTTGCAATGGTAATAATTATTCCTCCTGTTTCTGTGTAGAATTAGTACAGTAGGTAAGGGTAGTGCTAATTAGAGCAGAGAAAGGCTTTGCAAATAAAGCCTTTGGCATTACTATGGGTTGCAGTAACAGGAGGAGGGACTGGAATAAGAATTGTCTTACTGCCAGTACATGAATCCAAGTCTGACTCTCCTCAGGTCACACTCTGCTTGATCACAAAGATACTTTTCCTCTCTCTGCCTGGTTCCTTCCAGGGCATAAGCTGGACTAATTTCCTTTCAAAATGGCTCCATTTCCATTCTTCCTGTCATACCTAATTAAAACAAAAGATAAACGGAAATGGTGCTGTAGGTATTCATTGAAACACATCTGGGAGCTCCCTAATTAACTACACAATGCTCACAGCTCTGCAGGGAGGGCAGAAGAACAACACAAAGCACATTATGGCTGTCAACATTTTAATGAGCCCCTGAGGACCATGGTACCATCTCCCTGTTAGTTATAGCAGTGGCAAAATCTGGCAAGGTGCCTTGGGGAAATGACAGGCAGAAGCAGAAACAAAGTTGCTTGGAGCAACTTTAATGGAGTCCAGTGTGAGATGGGCTTGGACAAAGTGTTCTCACCGGGGCTCATTACAGCAGAAACTCACAGCTTTTGATTACAGACAGCTCAGAAAGCCTCAGACTTCTCCTGTATCAACCTTCCCTTACAGAAGTCAAACAGCAGTGCCCAGGTAGGACAAAGGTGGTGCTTTCTGTCAGCATCTCGTAGACACAGCAGGTGGAAAGGAAATGCCATGGACCCACCTCTCCAAACCTGCTCTTCCAAAATGCTGGCAGATGCACAAGGCCTTGCTCCCAAGGCTTCAGTTACAGTGCTTAACACACACTGTGACTGTAACACGCTGTGACTGTAACACACTGTGACCATAACACCTTGTGACTGTAAGACAGTGTTTTGCTGACAGGCAGGGTACTCAAAAAAATGCCTTCACACTAGTCACTTTATAGCATGAACAGTTATAGAATATAAATCATTATATCATCCATATAATGTATCACTTGTACCTTCTCTGGCAAGGACGATTCATCCAGGTGTTCTGCCATGATTCGATGGCAGAAGGTGGGACTGTGGAGCCACCCTTGAGGTAAGCGGGTAAACACATACTGCCTGCCTTGCCAAATAAGAGCAAACTGATCCCAATGTTCCTCAGCAATGGATATTGTAAAGAAAGCATTAGCTAAGTCAATTACTGCATACCAGTTTCCAGGGTGTCATTGTATTTTTTCAATAAAGTGACAGTATGTGGTACCACAGCTGTCAGTGGTGGGGTGTATTTGTTAAGCTCCCTGTAGTCTACTGTCATTCGCCACATTCCATCACTGTTTTTAACAGGCCGGATAGGATTATTAAAAGCAGTGGTTGTTGGTTTCAACACTCCTGTATCTAGTAAATCTTTAATGATCTGTGAGATTTCTTCATGTCCTCCTGGTATACGATATTGTTTCATTGTCATTCCTTTGGTGGCGGGTGGAATTTGTCCCAGAGGTATTTTAGCTTCCCCAATTAAAACTGGCTGGGCTGACCTATATGTCCAGGTTCCAAATTGATATTTACCTGATGGCAAGTGTAAAGTCAGCCCTTTTAAAATATCAATTCCAATTATATATTCAGGGACAGGAACAATCATCACTGAATAAGTTTGCTTTGGCAGGATGCCAATTTTTGTCTCAGTTTTTGTCTGTATGGTTTTAATATGTTTGACACCTAATCCTGTAATCAAAACTTTTTGTTTTTTAAACTTTTTAGGATTACCAGAAATTAAAGAGGTCTCTGCTCCAGCATCAACAATGGCCTTAACTATTTGACAAGATTTATTTTTCCAATACATTTGAAGCTCCATGTGAGGATAATGGTCTTTTCTTGCCCATCGTTGTGCTGGAGCTTGGCCTTCATCTCCCTCTGCTTTTAATTCTTTCAATTGTTGCAACATTTAACATCTGGCCATGGATAGAGATCAGCATACTTTTGTCCCTTGGAACAGTTGACTCACCAATGGGGGTTGTGGTGGGTTGACCTTGGCTGGATGCCAGGTGCCCACCCAGCCATTCTATCACTCCCCTTCCCAGCTGGACAGGGGAGAGAGTAAGGGGGAAAACAACTTGTGGCTTGGGATAAGGCAGATTATGTAAAGCAAAAGCAAAGTAGACACTTGCATGCACAAAAGCAAAGCGAAAGATAACACGGTTTATTCTCTACTTCCCATGAGCAGCAATGTCCAGCCACTTCTAAAAAGCAGGGCTTCAGAACACGTAACAGTTCCTCAGCAGGCAGCCACTGCAGACAATGAATGCCTGCCTTCCTGCTCCGTGCCTCAGCTTTTATATCTGAGCTGATGTCACATGGTCTGGAATGTCCCTTTGGTCAGTTTGGGTCAGCTGGCCTACTTGGGTCCCCTCTCAGGATTTTGCCCTCGACTGAGGAAGGAATGTTACAGGGCTGATGCTGTGCCAGCCCTGCTCAGCAGTAGCCAAAACACCAGCGTGTTATCAACACCTTCCTAGCTGCCAATGCAAAGCACAGCACCGTGAGGGCTGCTGTGGGGAAATGAACTCCAGCTCAGCCAGACCCAATACAGGAGCCCTCTCTTGGCAAGTGTCCTGTCCCATTGAGGTTCATGGAGGGGAGCAGAAGGTCAAATTGCTCCATCCATCATGTCATCTTTTTGGCCTGAACTTGAACTCTTTACTTTTGTAACAGGTTTGTTTAACCCACACTGCTTGTCTAAACTCCACGTCTCATTAGTGGGGAGCCCATCAGTCTTATTTTAGGCCATCCCATCTTTCAGCAAGGCAGCAAACATTTCCTTTCAAGAGATTTAATTGTCTTTCACCTCACCATTCCTGTTATCATCTCTCCCACTTTGTTTGGGTCCCCATTTCCCCAAATCTCCTAACTGCTGGATTTTTTCTATGACTTGTCTTATGGGGTTTCCTGTTTCATTTAAAATCATAATAACACTTTTATATGCATGTGGAGCAGTCTTAGTAATCCTCTTTCAAATTGGAGCTGACAATTTTGCAGCATAGTGTCTGCACTACCAATAAAAACAGCAGTCTTCACTCCTTCCGCCTTAATACGCTGAATACAATCCCATAGAGTATTCCAGGGCCCATCTGCACTGGGGTACTCCCCTTCCATGGGCTATCTTCTATTACAACCTTCCACCACTACCGCCAATAAATTAGTCTCTCCAGCTGAGCCTTGGAAGGCATCCTGAACAAATGAATCAAAATTTAACACTACAAACTTCTTATTGTCTTCCGAGTTGAATCTAATTCCAGAGGCACCAAGATCATGCAGCCGGACTACCCAGGAGATGAAAGACTCTCCAGGCTGTTGTCTAAATGTATCCATAATATCGTTGATTTCATCCTGAGTAAAATCATCCATGGCATCATGCCTCACTGGATAACCAGTAGCATCACCTTCCAATTTTCTTCATGTTATTGGCTCTGCTTCAGCAAACACTTCATCCTCTGAACTACTATCTAAATCAGTTGAATCCTATATATCTCCATCCCATTTTTCAGGATCCTAGTCTATCCCTGCCTCTGCAATCAGAGCATGCACTTTTTCTTATTTACTCAACTCCTTTGCTTTCAGTATTTATACTGGGCTACCTGGACAGCAGCTCTTTCTGCTACTGTTTGATAAGTGTCCAACTTCTCCATTAATAGTCGATTTTGGCATTGCACCGTAACTATTTTCCCCTGCAATTCACATACTTGCTTCTCCAAAATAATCTTATCCTTACACATTTGTTCTCTCTGTTGATGCTACTTTTGATATGCAACCAGCAAAATCCCTCCTCGTCTCCCTAGAGTATTCCCTTCCTTCCCCTTCTCTACTGAAACCTTTTGTAAACATTTCACTACATTACGTGGTTCTGCCTCCTTCAAATAGGAGTCCCAGTTCTCACATAAACCATAGCATGACCACTCAGGGGCCCAAATATGACAAGGTTCCCATCCAGGAATACCCAGGTCTACGTCTGTCTTGGCAACATTTTTGTGTACTTAAAAAAAAGCCATTTTGTTTCGTATCCTGTGCTGTGATGCCAAATTGTTTTGCTGACAGGCACGGTACTCAACAAAATGACTATACACTAGTCATTGCAAAATATGAAAAGTTTTTTAAACAAGCACAATAAAATTATTGGACATAAGTATAAAAAATACAAAAGAAAATTAGCAATGTATCAAATAATTACTGCAGAGAGAGCGAACAGTGATTAAGAAGAAATATATCACCAATTACCACCTAATGCTCAAAATGCAGGTCCATATGTCAACTGGAAATCCCCGTTTCAGCCAATGCCCAGAGTCTCAGGTAACTGGAGAATTCCTAGGGTATTGGCCAGGCACCCTGGTGTGGTCAAATGTAGAGGTCATGGAACAGCTGCACACACGTTTCCTACCTTTTTGCAACATCATCACCATCATCATGGCTGGGCTTTGCAAACGAAGATTTGGGAAGGACTCTACTCACATTTGCTGCAAGTGCACTGGTGGCTAAAAAGGTCAATGGAGATAGACATGTCCTGTTGCAAAAGGCACAGCAGAAAGACTCCTTAGGTGGTATCGACAAGACACGGTTCTTTCTGTGTTGTCTTTTCTCCTCAGGAATGATTCTGCGTGTGTTCTCAAAAGAAGCAGCAGCGTTATGTACAGTGTGTCTCCAGACCTCCCGACTGGAGGCCAGAGTAGACCAGTTTTGTTGATCAATATGGCCAAGGCTGAGATGTTGTTTCAGGGAGTCCTTGTATCTCCTCTTTGGGGCTCCTCTCTTGCGGCAGCCAGTGGCAAGTTCACCATAAAGCAAGATCTTAGGGAGGGGGTGATCTTTCATCCCCGAGACGTGTCCTGCCCAACGCAGCTGTGTTCTCAGCAACGTACAGTCATAACAACTACATACTTTACTGAATACAGTTTATCAGAGACGTTCTTTATCAAGCTTCTCATAGACACGAGGAGGGGTCAATTCTTGGTTAAGTTCTCATCCATTACATCCTGTGACTGTAACACACACTGCCGACAACACTCAGGAACCACCAGCCATCCTAACTCACAGCTCCCTCCTTCCAACCCCAGTCTGGATCAGCTCTGGATTCAAACATACGGGATTAAATGTTGCACCTCAGGCCCTATCCTCTGTTCCATCAGACCCTGAACACCTTCTTCTCTGCTCCATGAGATAAAACCATGACATTAGTGGCTTCTCAGTCATTAAGAGGTGCTCCAAGCCTCTGATAATATGTAAATATATTATACATGCACGATACTATCCATCTACACTCTGTTGTAATATTTCAGATTAAAGTCTTTTAGTCTAATCAATATCATCATCAATTTAAATAAATCACTTACTGATATAAATATGTTTGGTTTGCCATCCTTAATCCTGCAGGACAAAGTTGTATACAGGCTCAATTACACATCTCTGGGACTGGGATTGGATCCAGGTGCCCTGAGACTCTTCTCTGAGAAGGAGTTTAGAAAGCCAGGGGGTTCTTTTTGTACCTTGTGACCCGACATGGATGTCTCCCTGATTAACCTTCTCCAAAGCTTCTATTCTGGACATGAGTTATGCCAGCTTGTATACAAGTCACAGCACAGTGATTTCAAAGTGCTGTGATCATCCCTTTTGCTCCTTCCCAGTGGTGTGTTGGCAGCAGACACTGAACCTCACACTTGCATGATGCAAGTGCTGTTCCTTGTTTCTGTGTACCTTGAAACAAGGCTTTTGACCATAATTCCATTTCTTTTCTTTATCTATTAATCAACCCTGCTTTGGGAAAAAACATATCAGAAGTAAAGGATAATCAGGCAATTTGCATGAAAAAAATAGGTCTGGTTGGCTTCAGTTGGTAGTTGGAAAAATCTGTTAAGAAGGATCCAATAAACCAGACTGGCCACACAGTTTCTTCGTTAGACCCTAGACAAGGAATAAACAATGAAATTAGTCTATAACAAAATGGAGCAGTGCACTTTGTTTGCAGGGTCCCTTGCCATGGGGGGAAAGTGAGCAAGCTTAGGACAGCTGTGGATCATGATACTAGATCTTTTCATGTTTGAGGTTATACATTTTTTCTAAAACAATGAGGATCTCAATATCTCACAACCTTGCAAGTTTCATCAAAGAGCTCTGGGAGGAGACAAACAGATATTCAACAAGGTGAAATGCCAGGTCCTGCACTTGGGTCACCATAACCCCTGCAGTGCTCCAGTCTTGGGGCAGAGTGGCTGGAAAGCTGCTCTGTGGGAAAGGGCCTGGGGGTGCTGGTTGATAGCGGCTTGAACATGAGCCCAGGTGTGGCCAGGTGGCCAAGAAGGCCAGGGGAACCTGGCTTGTACCAGCCACGGTGTAGCAGCAGGACCAGGACAGTGACCACTCCACTGTGCTGTGGACTGGTGAGGCCTTGCCTTGAATCCTGCAGTGTTTTGGGCCCCTCATGACAACAAAGACATTGAAGGGGCTGGAGTGTGCCCAGAGAAGGGCAATGGAGCTGGGGAAGGGTTTGGAGCACAAGTCTGACGAGGAGCAGCTGAGGGAGCTGGGGGAGCTCAGCATGGGGGACCTTCTCGCTCTCTCCGGCTCTCTGAAAGGAGGGTGAAGCCATTTGTGGGTTGATCTCTTTTCCCAAGTAGCAAGTTGTAGCACAAGAAGAAACGACCTTGAGTTGTGCCAGGGAGTTCTGGATATTAGGAAAAATTTCTTCACCAAGTGTGTTGTCTGAAAAAGTTTGCCCAGGGAAGTGGTTAAGTCACCATTCCTGGAGGGATTTAAAAGTTGAGTGGGCATGGCACTTAGGGTCACTTGGCCGTGTTAGTCCACAGTTGATGTACATAGCAAAATTTCGGTAACAAGGGGCCTGCAGGTGTGGCCTCTGTGAGAACGTCTTGCTCCATACTGGACACAGCCGATTCCAGCCAGCTCCAAAATGGACCCAGCATGAGTCAAAGCTGAGCCTACAAGTAAAGCTGGTGGCACCTTGGGGAAAACATCTTTAAGAAAGGGCAGGAATTGCCAGCTAGTGAGAGGAGCAGGGAACAACAGGAGTGAGAAACAAAAGAGGGAACAGCAAGATCAGAGGAGGAGGAGATGATCTCTGGTGGAGCAGATATTCACTACAGCCTGGGAGAACCCACACTGGAACAGGGGAAAAGCGTGAGAGGAGAGAAGCAGCAGAAGGGAAGAACTATGCATTGACCATAACCCTCCCCCCCCACCCTGCGCTGCTTAGGACAGTGGTGGAGTATTCTGGAATAAATGAATAAAATTGAGTACAGGAAAGGGGAAACTAGAGGTGTTTGTTTAGTATTTAACTTTGTTTCTCACAAGCTAAAGCTATTTTAATTGGCAAGAAATTACATACGCTTTCCCCAAATCCAATATGTTTTGCTCCTGATAGCAATTGGTAAACCATCTCTCTGTCTTTATCTCAATCCATGAGACTTTTTGTTTCAGTTTTTCCTGTTTTCTGCTTCTGCTCCATCCCACTGTGGGGGTGAAGGAGTGAGTAGGAATTTTCTTTTTAGCTAAGGCTGACACATCACAGCAAGGAGGTGAAATACTGAGGCAAAGCTGAGGCTGGGTACTGGAAGGCTGGAAAATCCTTTCTGTGTTGGCATGTTTTGGTTGCTAACACAGGGTTAGCAGAAATGTAGAAGCATAAAGCATTTGAAATCAGCGTCTTTAATTCACAGTTACACAGTACTGGTATTACATCTGAGGAACAATTCAGTTGCTTGGACAGGCTACTCTGCAATACACAACTGCCTCAGGGAGGCAGAACACGCCTTCAGCATGTTCTCCTTTAAAGCTTGTTTCACTCGCTTGTTCCTGAGAGAGTAGATGTATGGGTTAAGCATCTGAGTCAGCACAGAGAAGAAGAAAGAGAGAACTTTGTCAGATTCCTGCCCACCTCGCTGTGCTGGGCGGATGTACCTGTAAATAAAAGTGCTGCAAAATACCATCACCACTATGAGGTGAGCTGAGCAAGTGGAAAATGCCTTCTTCCTACCTGCAGAAGATGGTATATGGAAGATGGTGATAATAATGCAGCCATAAGAAACAACAGTTACTATAAAGGTACCAGGTAGGATTCCACTAATAACTATCCGCCAGTTTGAGTTTGCAGTATTGACCATCCCCTTTTGAACTTGGAGGTCTAGCACTTTATAATTCACCCCTCCATTGCACATCTCTCCAGGGTTTGACGTGCAGCCCAGCTCTGGGGTACCAACTATCTCCCTCCCAAAACACTGTTCTTCAGGGCCATGGAGAGATCAAATGCAGGCATTCTCTGATGAAAGGAGATCACTTCCAGCCTGCTTTTGTTCACTCAGCAGCAGGGAAAGTTCCAACAAGCCCCAGCAATCCTGAGCACCACCAAAATTTTTAGAGTGCCCCAAGACTGCAGTGACAGCAGCACTGTGTCCAGGTCTGCAGTTCTCAACACAAGAAGACACAGACCTGTTGGAGCGGGTCCAGAGGAGGCCACAAAGATGCTCAGAAGGCTGGAGACAGGCTGAGAGAGCTGGGATTGTTCAACCTGGAAAGGAGAAGGCCCAGGGAAACCTTACTCTGATCTTCCAGTACTTAAAGGAAGGTTATAAAAAAAGAGTGAGTGATTTTTACATGGGCAGATAGTGACAGGACAAGGGGGAATGGTTTTAAGCGATGAGGAGAGATTTGGGTTAGATATTAGAAAGAAGTTCTTTACTATAATAGAGTGGTGAGGCCCTGGCACAGTTGCCCAGAGAAGCTGTGGATGCCCCACGGCTGGAAGTGTTCCAGGCCAGGCTGGACGGGGCTTGGAGGAATCTGGATAGTGGAAGGTGCCCCCGCTCATGGCAGGAGGTGGATGAGATGAGCTTTAATGTCCCTTCCAACCCAAACCAGTCTGTAATTCTATGATAGGGAAATGCCCTGTCTTCAATGCAGAGCCCGTTCAGGGGTATTTGCTCTCCGAATTGAGCACATCCCTCGTCTGGGAGAGAGGGGAAGGCTGGAATGATTTAAACGGGACGAATACAAACAGGAAAGTTCTGTTTCCGATTCACTGAAAAGTCGTTCCCTCCTCCAGAGCAGAATCGTTTCGCTCCCCCTTCAGGCTCCGTGTCGTGACGGTTTTTAACCAACAGTAATGAAAGCGGTGGTTTGCCTTTCCCCAGCTCCGAGCAGGGCGACAGGATTTTGGCTCCTCTTGGGAGAACCGGGACAGTCCTTCTGCAGCAAACTCCCACGCACCCGCTGAGCCTCCCCTTCCCTCGGCCAGAGCGCCTCCCGACAGGATCCGCCATTCCCAGTACGCAGGGAGTGGGACGCGGGTGAGGGCGCTGTAATCCGCCTGGCAATAGGCGGAGCTCGGCGCTAATTGGCTCCTGGGCGGAGATGCTACCTAATCTGCCTGGCAACAGGCGGCTCTAGGTTCTGATTGGCTCTTGACAAGCTGCGGAGGCGCGGACTGCACGGAACCTTCGGCGCATGCGCGGCCCGAGACGCGTGACCCCCGTTGCTCCCCCGCCACGTCAGTCGAAGGCGCAGTTCCGCCGCC